AGCAAGACCAGTGGCAAGGGATGATGGGAATTGTAGTCCAAAAACAGCTGGAGGCACAAGGTTGGGAAACACTGCTCTAGAGGATCTTGTCAAATTGTTGCTGCAGTTCACTTGGAGACTTCACAGCTGTGAGATTAACATCGTGGGACCAGACTGTGACCTTGAATAAAAATGTGTTTGGAAGAATTCCTGGTGCTTGCTTTTTTGCAAGACAAGTGCTTTGTTGGAGCAGTTGCATGAGAAGTTGGATTTGATGACTGTTGTAATCAGTGAATGTGGACAAGTAGGGAATACTGACATAGAAATCATATAGGGACCAACCCAGGAAACTGGTTCGACTGGCCAAATGCAAGGGCAGACAATAATGAAGGAAACTACAGTTCTACCTCAAGCAACACAAATGGAGAGACCCGAGGCCCTACAGGAGCATAGGCCGCTGTTTTGGAAGAATGAACTTGAATTAGGCCAGAGGGAGTTTGGAGCTGAGGAGGCTCTCAACTTTGGAGAGATTTTGAAATATGCTGTTAAAGATCCTTTGGATTATATTGATGACTGTGGGGAGTGGGACTGTGGGGAATGGGCTGGTCTGATGTGGGGAGATGGACATGAGTATGGGTGGAAATTCCCCGGAGACCTACTCCCTAAGGAGAAAGGAAAGAAACTAAGAAAGAGACCAACAAAAGACAAGGAAAAGTGCAAAAATAAACAAGAAGAAAAAGATCTGCAGAAGGGGCATGGAAGAGACTTAAGAGCATCGGATATCAGACTACCAGGTTGATGGACTAGATGGAATGGATAGCAAGGACTGACATAACCCAAGACCAGAAAGAAGGGACGTTGGATGAAAATTGGAAGTGTCTATAAAGAAAAAAATTTATTTTGGGAATTAGTGTAAAATTAATGAATATTGGGGAGAATGTTGGAATGAAATTGTCTGGCTTTAGCAGAAATGATATAAGGATAAATAAGTATTAAGTTTTTTAAGTTTTAAGGTATTTTATGGTATTTTATAGTAAGATAAGGTTAAGGTATTTTATGGTAAGATAAGGTAAAATTAAGTAAGGTAAATTGAATAATAGAATATGGTGAAAGATGGATAGGATATATAAAGTTAATTAATTGGTTATAAGCTAAAATATTGAAAGGATTTGCTGAAACAATGACTGAATCAGGATACAAGAAGAGGGAGGTGTGAGGAAGTTGGGGAAATAGGCAGATGAAAGATAGGATATGGAATGACTGATTTGTTTTTAACTATTTTTATTTTTCTGTATTTTGTATCTTTTTGTTTTCTTTTTCTTCACTTTTTTTTCTTCTTTTTCATATTTTTGTATTTCCTCTGAAATTTTAATAAATATTATTATATAAATAAATGCTTCCTTGCAAATGTAAAAATAGACTGGCCTAGAAGCAAAATCCCAAAGCCTTGTTAAGGGAGGTGAATGGGGATTACCCTCAGGATTAATATACATTGGTACCTTGGTTCTCAAACTTAATCCATTCCGGAGGTCTGTTTCCCAAACCAAAGCATTCCAAAACCAAGGCACGCTTTCCCATAGAAAGTAATGCAAAATGGATTAATCCGTCCCAGACTTCTGAAAACAACCCCTAAAACAGCAATTGAATTTTACCATCTAATGAGACCATTGAGCCATAAAATGAAAGCAGTAAACAATGTACTGCAATCACACGATCAATCAGTCGGTAGCTGAACTGGGTTCCACACAGTCACAAAAACAAAACAAAAGGAGCCTCAAAACAATAATGCAAAATAAATAGCAAACACAGACAGGCCTCAGTGTAACACTCAAAACGGAAGTGTGGCAACACTCAAAACGGAGCATGTTTCAGCTTCCGAAAAAAGTTTGCAAACCAGAACACTTCTGGGTTTGCAGTGTTTGGGTTCCAAGTTGTTTTAGTAGCAAGGTGTTTGAGAACCACTGTAAACAAATTTTACAAGGACAGGAAGACACACCAGGGGCGGAATAATTGCCACACACAGGAAGAAGAAGGATACAGTCTGAGCGCCTCGCTTATAATGTTATAAATCATTTAATGTAACACTGCACTTGTTGTGTAAGAGATTATTATTTTGACCGGAACGTAACTGAAATTAATAAGATTTTGGAACGCAGAAATAAAGAAAACCACCAAACCATTTGAATAATTGGTATTAGTTATTGTATTATAATTTGGCATTGTTATAATGAGGCTATTATTGGACTCCAACATGAATTTGACGAAATGCCGGGAAGACAGGAGTTAAAGAAACTGGAGTTCTTGTTGAAACTGCACTGAAAAGGATATATCAAGAACTCTGGCCAAAAGTTTCAATATAAGGAATAATTCCTACTCAAGAGTTGAAGTGAAAAACGTGTATATTCTGCTAAGAATAACAGTTTGAAGCTAGTAGTAAATTTAAACACAACGTGTAAGTACGATAGTTTTTAAAGTAATGGTAAGTTTGGATACAACGTTTAAGTACAGAAATAATGTAGTTTCAAATATACAGTGATATAGTACAAAGGTACATGAAATACCAGTGCACAACAATTGTTTTATACAAGTCTCAATAGCAGTCAAAAAGAGTCCATATTATATAAAATCAAAATAAAGAATAAAGAATAAAGGATCAAATAGGGCCAAAAAGGAGTATCCGGAGTGTGAATCAGATGTACGACTCAGTAGTGGTGACCAGGACAGGGCCCTGTTTCGGAGTACACGCCTTCTTCAGCTCGGTTTTTTGACGACTATAAATCTGTTGGAAGTCTGTATCAGACACCTGTCTCTGGGTTTTGGATTTTTTGTCAGAACGTTCTCAGAGGGTTAGAGTAGGGTCACATATGTCCACAGCCCTTAGCCTTAACACCGGCTCACCACAGGGTTGTGTGTTGAGTCCCCTGCTCTATGCTCTCTATACGTATGACTGTACAGCCATCTATTCCAGCAACAAAATCATCAAGTTTGCTGATGACACTACGGTGGTAGGGCTCATTTCAGGAGGGGATGAGTCCGCCTATCGGGACGAGGTGGAGCGGCTCTGTGTTTGGTGTGGAGAGAACAATCTGGCTCTTAATACGGCTAAGACCAAGGAATTGGTGGTGGATTACAGGAAAAAAAAGGCGGACATTCAGCCCTTGTATATCAACGGGGAACGGGTGGAGAGGGTGGCGGAATTCAGGTTTTTGGGAGTAACTATCGATCAGGGCATGACTTGGAGCGCACATACCACTGCTCTTATTTCCTCAGACTTTTAAAGAAGAACAATCTGAGTGAGAGACTGCTGGTGTCCTTCTACCAAGGCTCCATAGAGAGCATTCTTACATACTGTATTTGTGCTTGGTTCTCCAGTTGTACAGCTAGGGAGAGGAAGGTGCTCCAGAAGGTCATAACCACAGCCCAAAGGATTATTGGTCATCCTCTCCCATCTTTGGAAGAACTGTACGGTTCCCGTTGTCTTAGGAAAGCAAATAACATCCTGCAGGATTCATCTCACCCGGGACACAGTCTGTTTGCACTACTGCCTTCTGGCAGGAGATATAGAAACATCAAGTCAAAGACAAATAGACTGAAAAACAGTTTCTATCCAAGAGCTGTGGCCTTTTTGAATGCTGTAACTCGATAGTGTGACCTGGGAGTTTGATGGGTGTTGGTGTGGGTGTGGCTGGAATGTGGTTTGTTTGGTTGTTGTTGTTGTTTTGCTTTTGTTGTTTTAAGGGATGGCATCCAATTTCGTTGCACTTTGTGCAATGTTGCACTTGTGTAATGACAATAAAGAATCTATTCTATTCTATTTAATTCTTTTATGTTTCTTTTTCGACATGTGTCTTAGATAATTACATCCAAGTTTTCTTCCGTTTCTCTGTGCGTAACTGAAATTAATAAGATTTTGGAACGCAGAAATAAAGAAAACCACCAAACCATTTGAATAATTGGTATTAGTTATTGTATTATAATTTGGCATTGTTATAATGAGGCTATTATTGGACTCCAACATGAATTTGACGAAATGCCGGGAAGACAGGAGTGCCTGGCGTGCTCTGGTCCATGGGGTCACGAAGAGTCGGACTCGCCTAAACAACAATTATTGGACTGTAATCTAAGAAAAATTATTATATATAAAAAACACGTAATATAACATTGCATTTTTTTTAAAAAAAAAAAAACCTTCACGGGGCTACTTTCCGATGCCTTCTAAAGGTTATTCCACCGATCTAAAAATTGCAGAGCTGGGAAAGGAAGCCACATTTTCCTCCTCCTCCTGAGTTTCCCCCTGCCGCTGATTTCCATCGCACGGGAGGCAAATGCCGGGGACCCTCCCCGCCCCAGATCGAACCCCCATCCCTGTGGATTCAAGAGGCAGCGAGTTCCAAAGTCTAGCTGCTGCCACGCCAATAAAAGACCGATTTTTTACAGGTACCACGTGGCACCACTAATCGATCAAAGCAGTAGAGGGGCGTCTATAGTCCGGCAGAAACACGGGGGGGAGAGAGAGTTTGGGGGCCTTGCAAGGAGGTCGCAAGATGCACTTGGGGCCCCACTTTGCGTCTGAACTGCAGGGAGAAACCCCCAAGCCTCAAAAGTGTGTGGGGTGTGTGTTTGTTTTTGTCCCTTTCTTCTCTCCCCCAGCCCCAAATAAACCAAGTCCCCCTCCTCTTCGCCTCCTTCTCTTCCTAGCTAGCCCGATCCCACCCACCAAATGTCGCTTTGTTTCTCCGAAGAGCTCTGATCATTTCTCTCTGTGCCAGAGAAGGAGGGGGAAATGCAACTTCACAGAATCACAGGCTGGCAGAGTGGGAAGGGATCGCCAGCGGTCATCTAGCCCAACCCGCTGCAAATGCAGGATTCGAACCCAGGACCCAGAGAGTCTGATTGCACGGCCAGCTCCCTTTCCAGTTCCCCCGCGTTAATGTCTCCCATGCATGTTTCTGCCTAATACTAATACTAATAATAATATTAATAGAGGGGATTTGTGTGTGTGTGTGTGTGTGTGTGTGTTTTTTGCTGCTCGATTTTCCAAGGGTTAAGATGAACGGAGCTCCCGTTGCTAGAGAGGAAAGCCATCGGGGGAGGAGTTTCCCTCCGTCTCCCACTCCTTTTCCTGCCCGGCTCCTCACGTGGAGGGAAGCGGCTGATCTGCACCCCCCCGGTGCCCCCTCCCGGCGCTGCATCCGAGGCCAGATCCGGTGAGACACCCCACCCCCGACCCCTTTGTGCATTGGGCTGGAGAGGATCCACAGGGTCGCAGGGAGGAAGATGCGAGGAGACCCCCCCCCCCCTCCCTGGGATGGGGTTGCAATTTTGGGTCGGGGTATCAGCCGATTGCTAGGGTGCAACTGGGAGAAAGCGAGACCCTCGCCCCCTTTCGCCCCGGGATCTACTGGGTAAGATCCGTTTCTCCGCTAGAGATCCCAGGGAGCGCCGCTGGCTTTCTTTGCCTTCCCTGCCTCCGCTCTGCAAAGCCAGGAGAAGAGGGTCCTTCCTTTGCTTTTTTTCTGCGAGGTGGGGGGCACTTGCAGACTTTGCAAGAGACACACGGAGGGGACCTTCGGTCATGGAAATGCAGAGATGGGAGAGACCCCGTGGTGCATCATAATAATAAAAAAAATAAAATTTTATTTATATTCCGCCCTCCCCAGCTGAAGCTGGGCTCAGAGCATAGCTGGCAACTTTACCCTTTTTTAAAAGGGAAATTCCCTTATTACGAATAGGATTCCTCGCAAGAAAAGGGAAAAGTTGACAGCTATGGCTCAGAGCGGCTAACAACAGTAAAAGTAACACAGTTTACATAAAATCACAATCAATTCATTCTAAAACCAATTCATTCTAAAATCAAGAATCAAATTAATGGCAACCATTGGGCTAGCGTTCTATAAAAAGGACAATGCAGGATCAGGCCAATGGTGCCATCTGGTCCAGAATCCTGTTCTCACAGTGACCAACCAGTTGCTGGTGTTTTATGATTTGATGGTGGTTGTTTTTTAAACCTGATTTTTTAAACACATTTTAAAATTAAATTGAATAGCCTGTGTTGTGCCTGAATATAATATTGAAGCACAGGTGGATGGAGGCGTGTTGGGTTTTCCTCTAGACCAGCCTTTCTCAACCTGTGGGTCCCCAGATGATGTTGAACTACAACTCCCATCACCCTAGCTAGCAAGGCCAGAGCTCAGGGATGAGGGGAGTTGTAGTCCAACAACATCTGGGGACCCACAGGCTGAGAACCGCTGCCTGGACATTGTGTCTGTATAATAATAGGATATGGACAAAGGGGCCCAGTTAGTGAGATGCAAGGATGTAGCGAATGGGCAATGGGATCAGTTGTGTGGGAAATGGAGCCTCCATATACAGCAGCAGCCTACCTGAACTCGGACGCAGCAAAGAGATGTTACTTTGATCCACATGAAACCGTTAAAAATGTTCCCAACGAGAGCGAAAACGCACCTTCATTAGTAATGTTGGTTTCAACAGATTAATACACTGTCTTCAAGTCGGGGCAACACATGAAAAATCAGATCCTGGACCTGGTGATTTTGGAGCAGTTCCTGGCTGTCCTTCAGCGGAGATGGAGAGCTGGGTCAGAGAATGTGGAGCAGAGTCCAGTTCCCAGATGGGGGCCTTGACTAAAAGTTTCCTCCTGAGTCAGGCAGAGCAGCAGGTGAGCGCAAAATTGCTGAACTCGTTCCGAAAGTCCCGCAAGGAGGAATGTGCCAAACCACAGAGACCTTTGCCTCTGTCCTTACTTTCCTCATAATCCTCGCCGTTCATTGCTGTTTCAGCTCCAGGATCTGTTTGCAGAAGTGGCCACAGATTTCCACAGAGTAGGGAAGCTTCCCTCAGACGCCAGAGACAGTCACCTACACAGGCAGTCTGTGCCAGAGAGTGACTTAGGTGACACCTCACTGGGTAAGTTTTAAATTGATCATTTTTTATTGATCATGCAAGAAATCAGGGTAGGTCTGGCCCAGGAGGCCTCTTTTGGCAGGGTCTCATCAACGTTCATGAAAAAAAACATCCTAAAGCCTTTAAATTTCATTTTTTGTATCATATGCTGCTAACGAAAGCCCATAATTTATTTGCGTATTAAACTTTTTAAATTAGTAAATCTATTAAAGGTAAAGGTACCCCTGCCCGTACGGGCCAGTCTTGACAGACTCTAGGGTTGTGCGCTCATCTCACTCTAGAGGCCAGGAGCCAGCGCTGTCCGCAGACACTTCCGGGTCACGTGGCCAGCGTGACGAAGCTACTCTGGCGAGCTAGAGCCGCACACGGGAACGCCGTTTACCTTCCCGCTAGTAAGCGGTCCCTATTTATCTACTTGCACCCGGGGGTGCTTTTGAACTGCTAGGTTGGCAGGCGCTGGGACCGAGCAGCGGGAGTGCACACCGCTGTGGGGATTCGAACCGCTGACCATGCAATCGGCAAGTCCTAGGCGCTGAGGTTTAACCCACAGCGCCACCCGCATCCCACCCAGTAAATCTATTGACTGTGTGTTAAATATTACATATACAGTGGTACCTCTGGTTGCGAACGGGATCTGTTCCGGAGGCCCGTTTGCAACATGAAAAGAGTTCAACCCGTGGGTTGCGATTCGCCACTTCCTCACATGCGTGTGACGTCATTTTGCACTTCTGCGCATGTGCGAGTGGCGAAACCCGGAAGTAACCCTTTCCGGTACTTCTGGGTCACCGCAGGACGTAACCTGAAAGAACGTAACATGAAGCGGACGTAACCTGAGGTATGACTGTATAATATTAAATCTATTGCGAACGCTTCAATCTTCAATATGGAAATCTAATTAAGTGTGTGGCCCCCTTATTCTACGTCAGAGTTCTCTTGCGGCCCATGAGAAGTTTCACTGCCCTGCCATAAATCTGTGAGATGCATTTTATGTTTTCCTGAAACAGGGCACAAAAGGATGCTGGTTTTCAGACTTCTCCCCAGCTCAGAAAGGCGTTCCTTGGCGACCCCTTGGATTTCTCCACAAGAGGAAAAATGGGATGAGCTGTAGTTTTGCACAACTAAACCGCATAATGCAAAGGGACGTTCAAGATATATAGGACGGCTGTGTCGTTTTGTGATGTCAACGCGGACCTAGAAATTTCAAAAGAATGCATTAAATTAAAAGAAAAGAGAAATTTGTCATGCAGCCTCTGAGATTAATGTGCGCTCTGATGGCTTCCCATCACCTTTCTCTCTCACAGGTGGTGGAATAATGTCAGCAACAACTCCTTGGGCATTTTTTCTTCATGGGGGAGCGGAAGAACCTGTACAAGCTACATTTCAGGTAGGTGGAAGCATCCCCGGGAAGGCTGCCAAGAGGAAGCCAAGTGCCTCTGCTCACCTCCCTGCATCTGAACGATTCTCTGTCCTCCTTATACATTCATAGCAACGGTCATCTAGTCCAACCCCCCCACAATGCAGGAATCTCATCGCTTCTTTCTAGGCTGCCCACTGAGGAGGCTGTGAGTGCCACCCGAGAAATCCTGCAGGATAATACCCAGCCACTTCTCGATACGATAAACTTTATTGTCCTTGTCCCATACAGAACAATGAAATTGAAAAAATCTACATCAGACATTCAAAAACCAACAAGCCTGCTATCCCAGCTATCCCAGCCTGGTTAGCCCCCTAAGAACTCTGATACCCCATAAATAAATACAATATACTCCCACAGAGACTACCTTACACTGCGTTTAAAACCAAAATCGCATTTGGATAGAAACTGTTTCTCAGGCGGCTAGTCCTAGTCTTTATAACCCTGTACCTTCTTCCAGAAGGCAGAAGCTGAAAGAGATCATTTCCGGGGTGCGTACTGTCCTGTGCTATCTCTGCAGCTTTCTTATGACACCTAGAAGTGTAGATTTGATCCAAGTGGGAAGAGTGCACCCAGTTATTCTCTCTGCAGTCTTTACAACCCTGGACAGCATTGTTTTTTCCCTGACCGTGCAGCTCCCAAACCACATACACAGACCATAAGTTAATACATTCTCCACAGTACAATGGTAAAATGCCATCAACAGGTCCTTTGAGAGATTGTTTTTGCGGAGGATTCTCAGAAAATATAACCTCTGCTGTGCTCTCTTCATCAGGTCTTTGCTGTTTTCTCCCCAGGTTAGGTCATCTCTTAACTCCATTCCCATAAATCGAAACACTGAGTGCACCCAATTATTCTCTCCACAGTCTTTACAACCCTAGACAGCATTGCTCTGTCTCTCTCTCTCTCTATCTCATTTTTATTAAATTTTCTGTTTTACAATTTAAAAGATTCATTTAAACAAGCTTGAAATATCAATAGTCAGTGGGCACATGACTTCTCTTCTCTTTCCGTGCTTCATTTTGCAGAGCATAAATCTCTGCATATTTTATATAAACTCAAGCATTCAGTATTCCGTTATTACTTCCACCAAAACTTATTTGCACTGCTGAATTTCTAACAAGAATGTGCGGGCGCAAAATAAGAATCGATAAATATGAAGAAATCTGGAAGGAATATTTAAGTGATAAGGCGGATAGTGGTGGGAGGAGAGAGAGAGATGTGAAAATATTGTTCAAAAAGGTGTAAAGGTAAAGGGTAAGGGGATCCCTCCCCTGACCATTAGGTCCAATTGTGGCCGACTCTGGGGTTGCGACGCTCATCTCGCTTTATTGGCCGAGGGAGCCGACGCACAGCTTCCGGGTCATGTGGCCAGCATGACTAAGCCGCTTTTGGCGAACCAGAGCAGCGCATGGAAGCGCTGTTTACCTTCCCGCCGGAGGGGTACCTATTTATCTACTTGCACTTTGACGTGCTTTCAAACTGCTAGGTTGGCAGGAGCTGGGACCAAACAATGGGAACTCACCCCGTCACAGGGATTCGAACCACCAACCTTCTGATCAGCAAGCCCTAGGCTCTGTGGTTTAGACCACAGCGCCACCCGCATCCCACCCGCCACCCGCGCATGCCTACTCAGAGTCAAACACCACCTGTAAATCATTTTCAAATAGTTCTCCTTCAGGGAATAACATGCTGTAAACTTCAGCCACTTTTCCTTGTTGAGTCTTCCGGATTTTGCAAGTAGAGAATTGTGACATTGTCTGCGAAAGGGCCAATGTTTTCCTTTTCTTTTCAGGCCCGAATTTATTTTGAGGACGTGGCAGTGTATTTCACGGCAGAGGAATGGGCTCTGCTGGATTCTGACCAGAGAGCTCTGCACAGAGAAGTCATGGAGGAGAATTATCTTCTCGTCGCCTGTCTCGGTAAGACGTTGTGTCTTCAGCTCTTTTACTGGTTGTGTTTGTGTAAATGGTTGTAGGGCTTCTATTGCATTTGGACCTCGCTTTGGATCCTTTCCCTAGTGCAGCCTTCTTCAACCTTGGATCCCCAAATGTTGGACTTCCATCATCCCTGACCAGCCCATCTAAGATAGCTGGGAATGATGGGGGTTGTAGTCCATCAATCTTGGCAGAACCAAGGTTGAAAAAACATTTCCTTAGTGGATGATGCCAGTTACAGTGGTGCCTCACAAGACGATATTAATTCGTTCTGCGAGTTTTTTCATCTTGCGAATTTTTCGTCTTGCGGAGCACCACTGTACACTGTTCAAGCAATGCACCCTGGGTATTAACGGTTTCAAGAAAAAGGAAACAAACTTGCAAGACGTTTTCGTCTTGCGAAGCAAGCCCATAGGGAAATTCGTCTTGCGAAGCAACTCAAAAAACGAAAAACTCTTTCATCTTGCGAGTTTTTCGTCTTGCGAGGCATTCGTCTTGCGAGGTACCACTGTATTTAGAGTGCATGTGATTATTCTTAACTAGCTTTGCAATGTTTTAAATGATATTTTTATCGATATGTTTGCCACCCATGGCTCTCTTGGGGAAGAAGGGTGGGATATAAACCGAAGGAATAATAATTATTATGTTCCTCCACGGGTGACCCTCGAGGTCCCTTCCGATTCTATGATTCTATTCTATTCCTCATTATGTCCATGAATTATTATTATTTGTACATGTCCACAGGACACTTTTTATATACAAGGACGTGTCGCCATCCTTGTAGCTGTTGGAAATGCGTATTTTGGTCAGCGGCATTTGCAAATCTTTTTTTTTTCTCCCCAAAACTTCTGGTGTGTGTTGCGTTCTAAAAGCAATGAAGGATTGGACCATGATTAATAAAATACACACGAGGCTTGACCAGCAAGACTCTGGGAGGAGGTGCCAATAATAATCTGTCACACCCTGGCCCAGGCCCCTTTTATTAACAAAAGAACTTATAACACAGTGCTTGGAAGAACCAATCAGATGTCCTCTGAGCATTTCAAAAACATCCCCACGTGGGACAAAGTTAGATCAGAGAAATCCTTTTAACTACAAAGAAACTATTTCCTACTTGAGCATGCATACATGGTTCAGAGTAAATAAAATAGGAATCAAGGAGGAATGCATTTAGTACCCCCGGAGGTCATAAACAACAGTAAACAGGAGATGAAGGATGGCAATGAAAAATAGTATTTACCATCTCCTTGTGAACTCTCTTCCTGGCCCTTAAAGGTAAAGGTAAAGAGACCCCTGACCATTAGGTTCAGTCGTGGCCGACTCTGGGCTTGTGACGCTCATCTCACTTTATTGGCCGAGGGAGCTGGCATACAGCTTCTGGGTTATGTGACCAAGACCATGACTAAGTCGCTTCTGGCGAACCAGAGCAGTGCATGGAAACGCTGTTTACCTTCCCACCAGAGTGGTACTTATTTATCTACTTGCACTTTGACGTGCTTTCGAACTGCTAGGTTGGCAGGAGCAGGGACCGAGCAACGGGAGCTCACCCCGTCACAGGGATTCAAACTGCCGACCTTCTGATCGGCAAGTCCTAGGTTCTGTGATTTAACCCACAGCGCCACCAGCGTCCTGGCCTTTAAGATCTACCTAAA